AAATGCAAGGCCGAGCGAGGTTTGTGTCTGCGGTGAGGCGGATCATAGTCCACGAATACTACAACAGCAGGAACTACGACTACGACATCGCACTGCTGCAGCTGAGCAAGCCGTGGCCGGACACAATGAGCCATGTCATCCAACCGGTCTGTGTGCCTCCCTTTTCCCACAAAGTCCGCAGTGGTGACAAGTGCTGGATAACAGGTTGGGGCCAAAAGCAGGAAACAGGTGGGTTTTGTCCCTTCAGTTGAGCGAATTTTTTTCCCCCAGGTAAAGAGCAGCCTTCACAGGTGGGGAGGGGTGTGTGTGCAGGACACCAGCTTTTGTGTGTTGCTGAGGTGTGCAGAAAATAATAGTGTTTTGAATTTTCTGTCCTATACAAGTAGGTGCCTCGTGCGTGTACCTTCATATGTTCAGTAATATTGGCTACTGGTCCCATGGATCTGAAAGTCTTCTGGCTCGTGTTGTTAGCTAAGACTTGCAAGGAGCTACACTTAAACTGAAATAACGCAATGTTATTTTTCACCGTTGTTACCTCTGGAGCCTGTGCTGCTTCCTGCATGGAGATGAAATTGCTAAGTCTCCCTTCTCCTGCCTTCAACCTCTGCAGGCTGAGCAGCCCTGTAGTGCTGACCCTGGCTGTGAGGTGCCAGCTCCGTCCTCAGAATGCGGTTTAACAGAACGGTCACACTGTAATTTTAAAGTATACCGTATACTGCCTTTGTCAAATCCTGAACCAGAGCTTCATTATGTAAACCAACACTTTTATAATTGAATATATAGAAGAGATTTCTTTGGCTGTAGCCAGATTTTGAGAGGATTAGCTGGTGATGAGATTGGACCTTCTGCATTAAAAGGAGGGGACAATTAGGTTTAATTCTGTTTTTCTGAAAGTATCTATCTTACAGCAAGGAGGTGTTTTACCAAATCTTTCAGACAGAGAGAACCAAATTTTGAGAAATGTCCAAGTTCTTTATGCTGCCAAAACTTGCATTCTGAAACTCTGACTCATAATCTTAATCTTGGATTCGGCTCCTTCAGATATACTGCCCTAACTGCAAATCTGCCATGTGATGATCCAAATACCTTTGTAAAATCCTGTTTACTCTTAAAAATAAAAAGAGAACAAATTAAGAAATCTTGAGACACTTCTGCAAAAAGCAAAGAGAAAACTTTTTGACCGACCCTAGTGATTATGCCATTGTATTTGGTGAGTCTAAAGGACCAAGGCCACATTATACAATTGCCTGTTAGAAGAAGTTTTCTGCTCTATTGCAGTTGTTTGGAATCTGGAATAAACTCAGTGGTCTAAATTATCTGTGGATATTTTCTGAAGACTTGTTTTCTGTTTCAATAGATAAGTAAAATGCTAAACTCTGTTGAATCACCCTTCTTTGAATTTGTTTTCCAGATGATGAAGGTTCAGCAGTTCTTCAGAAAGCAGAGGTAGAAATTATTGACCAGACATTGTGTCATTCCACATATGGGATTATCACAGCTAGGATGTTTTGTGCTGGGCTATTGTCTGGGAAAAGAGATGGGTGTAAAGTATGTATCTCACACACTTTGCATAGACCATATCTTGTCTTTCACTGTTGAATGATGAGGTGTAAGAATTGACCCCTTTGTGATCAGTATGTTTCAATTCTGAAAAAGAGTGATGTAAGAGTTGTCTGCCAGCAAATCTCTCCTCTGGGTGCTTTCAGAGTTCTGCTGCTTTATGTGCATGAGTAGCATCACTACATTTCAGTTGCAAGCCAAGAGCTGATCAATTTGCAACTCCCAATAACAAATTGAAGTCAGGCAATTTTTGGCATAAGAAGCTCTCAGCTGAAGAAAAAAATGAGAAACTAGCTTGTCTCTTTTCAGGATCCCTCCCTTCCAACTTGGACTGTATAATGAGACAATGACAATTGGGCATAAATTTCCAAATGTAAATTATTTCTGATCTGGAAAAGCTGAAAGATAATAAATGAGAAGTTCTGAATTTTCTTCTAGTGAACAGTGGTAAAACTCTGTGTGTGTATACATACAATATATGTTTATATAACATTTCATATTACAGATGTTATACTTTAATGAACTTACACAAACCTACTACTAAAATAGTAGTTAATCCTGGTTTGAGCAGAGGTGCTGCCTAGGCACCTAGGAAGAGGTCCCTTCCAAACTGCATTCCTAACGTGCTATAAAGTTAAAACAAAATAGTTTCCTAGCTCTGGCAAAATGTATGTCTAGAAGGAAAGCACTTCTCTTGCAAAACATCTGAATTTTGCCAGCTCACTTTTTGCTTTTGGAACTTCTTTCTTGCATCCAATGTTTCGGTAAAGTTTAACTTGCTGTTTGGTGTCTTTTTAAGAGATACTGTGTGTACAGCAGATTCTTACAGGAAGGTGTAAGCTTGGTCCAAGCAATTTTCCCCAAAAGGTGGCACTTTTTTTTTGCCTGAAGCTCTGCCAATGTATTTGTGCAAGAACGTATTGTAAAGGAAGAGTCCTAGTTGCTTTGTCCTGTATTATGGCATTATGACATACTGTATAAAACTTGGAAGTCTGTTGCAGACTTCACTTTAACTGATCTAATTGCAAAGACATTACGTACACCTAAACTTGTTAGTTGCTTGTTGCCTAGAGGACAACACTTAGGTTCTTTTTCCTTTTTTAAACTAAAAAAAAGCTTACTATTTTTCTGAGTTGTTAATTTGTAACCTATGAATGTACATACATAGTAAGGAGCAGATTTGGAGTTTAGCTGTAAGTTTGAAGCTAGGGAAAAAAATATTTGAATTTCAAATCTGGTCCATGAAAAATAATATCTTCAGTGTCTTTAGTGAGGGAGAGCTAGCCTTCTTTCTTGTGAAAGAGCAAACTTTGGTACAACTGTGCAATCCCATCTGCTTACAAATAACAAAGTATTGATGGTTTGAACTATGCAAATATGAAATTATAATCACTGTTGGAATTACTCAGTCAAAACATCTCCTGTGGATTTTTCCCCAGTTTTTATGTTTCATTGCAAACACGTTCAACTCCATTTATTATTTTTAGGGTGATTCTGGCGGACCTTTGTCGTGTCAAAGCAATGGAGATGGAAAGTGGTTTTTGACTGGCATAGTGAGCTGGGGTTATGGATGTGGAAGACCAAATTTCCCAGGTGTCTACACACGAGTGTCAAATTTTGCACCATGGATTCACAAATATGTGCCTTCAGTCTTGTAGTGTGAAAACCGTTTTTGTGGAATAAAACATGTCCTGGATATCTTCATTAAAAATCACATTTGGAAAAACTGTTCAGTGGTGGAATTTCTTTGCGTGTCTCTTGCTGATTCTGGAATTCATATATGAAAGTAATAATTACCTTTTTTCAAACCTTCCTGAATAAGGAAGAGGATGCTCCTAGTGGTAGTTGTTCTATGCAGATGTCTGGAGACACAGGACGAGGTGCAATAATAAACTTCTGGTACTTTGCATTCATCTTCCAGGTACCACCTAAGCACAGGTGCAATCCTCTGTCAGGAAGCTGAAGATACAGCTGATCACATAGAGAGAGCTCAAGGCTTAGTCACTCCTTTCTTCTGAGATGTGCAAGGCCAGTACAGAAGTAACTGTGGAGCAGCAATCAACTATTTGCACTCTTGCAAATACTACTTTCCCTCCCTGTCTCCTCCTTCAAGGACAACTGACAGGCACAAAGGGAGAGTAGAGGTTGCAGAAGGTGAACTCAATCCTTTCAAATCTGTGGGGTCCTAATTTTTGAACATCAGAGATTTTGAGTTGAGAGTAGAGATTTGTTCCATGCTTATTCTTCCTCCAGCTTTCATTTGATCAATTGCATGATTTGGAGCTACTGACTCTTTTATTTCCTGCCTTCTTTTCTTCATATTCAAGTTCATCCACCTAAGAATTTGAATTCTTTAGCTTCAGGCAACCTTAAGAAGGTAAGTAAATATAATGATGTGAGGTTATTGCAATGATTTGTCCTTGCCCAAGTAACACTGATGTTTCTGAAAGGTCCTGATACAATTTTTATGCAAAAGTGGTTTGTTTCCTCTAGGTTTTTCTGTGTTTTTTTTTTTCTTTCCATAAAGGAAGGGACAAAGTATCAATCAGCAGGTTGTGTGTGTAGCAGACAGACTGTTAGAAAAAAAGGTGGCTTGAGCAAAACCATCTGTCTGCAGTTGCAGTTTGAATTTCTGAGCTCTGAGGATTGCCTTCCAATTAATCCCTTTTGCAGTCTGTGTGATCTGTGTTGGAGTTTGTTTCTTCCCTTTGTGGTGTTTTGGGGGTCAGGGAAGGCTTCTTTTGTTTGGGTTCTTTATCTGGGGCTGAGGTTTCTTGGGCCTGTTTTAGTTTTCAAGGTTTTGTTCTTCGTGCTGTCTCTCTCAATACATATAAAACGTCATTGGCCCTCTCACATCCTTGATTTTCTTATTTTATGTGAAGAATATGTTGAACTTGTTGATTTGCTGACTTAAAACTAGTTTTTCTTTCAAACTAGTCAATGTGAGCATGAATTACTTTGCAGTTACATTTTTTCTTTGGTACCGGCTTGAGACTGAAAAGTTCAGGTGGTCTGTGAAATTCAGCATTTCTTCTCTCTCATCAGTGTTTCTGTGGATTCCACTGAGTGTTTATTAGAAACGGCCTCATTTATGTTGCTCTAGGGTGTCTTTATCGGTAAATTGCTTGCGTGACCTTTGCCTTGTGTGATAAATTATTTCCTTACTCTATTATTTCTGAAAGAAGTCATCTGTTTTGAAGTGATGGGATCCATATCCCACTTAACCAGTTAGGAAAACAAAGAGTTACAGTGATGGCAGCTTTTCCTCCCCACCTTCTTTGATCACAGATCAGCTGGCTCCAACTTCAAGCAGCATGGCAAAGGGGGAATTCGAGAAGCCCAGCGTGTGTGGTGGGGAAGGCAGCATGCTATTCAGAGTTATGCTTAAGAAACGAGGGTTGGTTAGGGTTTTGCCATTAGGTTTGTCAAGAGGTGTTTGTGTCACAGCATCATGCTACGGGCTCTCCCCTCCAGCCGGATTTCTGTGTACAGCATACCAGCTCCAGACACCAAGCGGACTGCAGGGCAGGTAAGAGGCACCAGCTAAGCTTTATAGCAGGAACAGATCAGTAACTGATCTCCCTATCCACTCCCATGTGCATTGACCTCTATTCTTCGTAAAGTGCTCTTAACCAAGGTGATAATTTCCCCACCACTTCCACAGATTGAAATGCATAAAGCAAGCAAGCAGCCAAGAAAGCTGTGGGTTTCACGCGTGATGTAGCTGATAACATGAAAGATATTATCTCATTTTTAACATCTTTAAAAGAGTAAATCTGCTAAAATGTAATACAATGGCTCTTCTGTGTTGCTTTACTAACTGATGCCTTCCCGTGTCATTCTCTAGGAATGCCCACATATTTGCTACTACCCATCCCGTCAAAAGTATCATGTCTTCAAAAGGATGAAGTTGTGTTTCTGGAGGAGGTGGCTTCTAGGAATATTACCTGTAGTTTCTTTAACAGTTACAGTAATCGTGCTAGTCCTGCACTATTCTTTCTGTAAGTGTTACCCATCCCAGCCAGACCACGCTGGGGAGTATTTTGTGCTGTGAAAAGCTCTGCACTAAACAGCTGAGCACATTATGTGCATTTAAACTATTTACCTTTCCCTTCTCCTTAATGTCTTTGCTAAAGCGACAAACTGCACAATACTTCGCAGTTAATAGTTGCACAAGAATATTGAAAGTATGCATTTTATCTCTATTTTTTGACTCTCTTTGTGAATACCATCATTATTATTATAACTGTCATCTTTCCCAAGAACCTACAGGAATTAGCTGTATATCTTCTATTCACCTTTTCCAAAAAACAGAACAGGGTACCTAACTTATGTATATAACTTCCGAAATCTCAACACATAGCCATTAAAACCATACCTCTTCAGGAGACCAGCACTGCAAAAAATGGAAGTTTAACAACTAAATCTTCCTAGTAAAAATGCCTTTCTGAACCTGTACCTCATTTCTGTCCTTTCCTGCTGGGCATTACTCTGTCAGTGAGACTGACTCAGTGTTCTGGCTATTACTGCACGTTTCTCCTAAGAACTAATACCTACAGGTGCCAAGGATAAATGCAAGCTCCTGCAAACCTCTTGTTCTGGAAGCTTTTCCATAACGTTATTAGGTGTGCTCATTTTTTAATTTTTTTTTCCCCCTCAGCTCCAGCTTTCTCCTTCATTTATATTGGTGGAAGCCTAGAAATTCCTAATTTGACTTACACAAATGACCTCAATGATCCAACATCACAGAAATTCCTCCTGCAAGCAGAAGCGATCCAAAATTATGTAAGTTCCCACATAAGTAGAGTAATAATTTATAAATATTTTTACAGAATCAGACTGGGAATGAGAAAAGGATTTCAGATAGTCATAACTATTTTTTTCCTTCAAAATTGCAAGTTTAAAGCTTTTCAGATTTAGAAACGTAGCTAGACAGATGGGGCTGTGAGTCTTATAGTAAGGTCAATGTTTTCTAAATAATAAACCTGTGGGTTTCAAGGTTATGGAAAAAATACTCAAAGCAAAGAGGAGAGTGGTTTTGTTTTATTTTATTCAAACTCTCTTCCTTCTACATTTCTCTTTCTTTTTTTATTATATCTCCAATCTAATGCTTGACTTTTTATTTTGTTTTCCTTTATCACTCACAACAATGCTTTCTTTCTTACACTTCTTATGAGTTTCTATTTGTGAGATCAGTACTGTTTCCTAGGTACACGTGAACAGCAGTCTTAAAGACAAAGCAGTTCTCTGTTAGCCTGTATTTCCCAGAAGAGCTAATCTAGGGTCTCAAAGCTGCTTTGTGCACTGCCAATAAAAGTTGCTCCTGCCCAGATTATGTGGCAGAAATTTAAAGACTGAAACAAAAATATAAATGGATTAATAAAGGCTTGCTTTTCATGGCTATTTATCAAGAGCTATCTCAATGGTCTTGAAATGTGACGTGACTTAGTAGCGATTTTTTATTTTAACGGAATTTAATGCACATTTATGAGCCTTATTTGATACATTTTGTGCAAGTGATGGATAGTGCTTTTGATATGTGTGGGGGTGTGAGGAAGAGGAAAGGAAGAAAAAGACAAATACTTTATAGCATAAGAGATTATATTGGCACTAAAATACAATGCTTTGCATTTTCTTTTACCACTATTTAATCGTCAGTTGGCAGAAACATATGAGTCTTCCTTCTTGGGAAAGTACTACTTGAAGTCTGTAGTGGCTGCTTTCAGGTAGGTACTGTTTCAGCATGTGGTATAAATTTAAAATACTCAGCTGTGTTTCTCTTATATTTTTTTCATGCATTTTAAATTAGTTACCTGGAAGAACATGCAGGTCTCTGTAAGAGAATTAAAAATGTAGAAATGCACTTAAATATATGAGTTAAGCTACAGAGTGATTTCTGTCTTTGCCCTGTAAAATCGGTGAGAGAAATGAAGTCTGATTAATTGTTCCTTGCTTTATGGATTGTTTTGTAGTCTATTCATCCATTTCTAATCTTTGAAATAACAATTTGGCACTCGCAGAATGTTATTTTGGTTTTGCCTATTCAAATAAAGTTCCTTTTTAACCTGTCAAAGCAAAAATGAAATGTATGATTTTGGGCAAGACATTCTGCTTAAGCTCCTGGTGAGAAGGAAAAATACACTGAGCAGATGGCTACTACTGTCCTGGTAGTTTCTGAAAACTCTGAAAGGTCAGTCTGCAGGCCATTTTGAAAGCAGGAGTGTGATGGATTGTCTCTTTGAATCACTGAGGTAATACTTTCTATGTGTACACATAAAGATTGTTTCTTTCAGCAACAATTGTGTGAAATGTTGTATCAAAGTATGGGTATAAAACTGTGTTGTCATATGGTGCTAACCTCAGTTTAAAAAAAAAAAGAAGAAAAAAGGTGCAGTGTTTCTGGAGCTGTAACATGATCTAAAAAGTGTGTAATTATACAGCAGGGATGGAAATATCTAATTCCATAAAAATTACTGCAAGGATTTGGTGAGGTGTAGTTTTCAGTGTTAGTGTGTAACTTTTTAAGCAGCATATTTTCAAAGTATTACTGCTGTATAGCAAAATCGATTCTTAAACAAGAGAACTTTTTGCCACTGTGTTCAGCTGCAACTCTTTGCACAGCAGTTCAACTGGCTAAGAAACTGCCAACCAAAAATGTAACCCTGTGGAAATCACGACCAAAATAGTAATTATAGTGTATTTATTATGTACTTTTTTCCTTTCACAGTGAAGGAGAATTTGGACTTCGAGCTTACTACTGGAATACATTCTGGGCACCACAAGATATAGTTGCTTCTCTTAAGAAATTAACCCCAGTGGAACAGAAAGAAATGTGTAATAAACAAGCAGCTCACTTGTTCAGTTCCTCTGGGGAGGAAGATTTTGATCTTGTTTCAATGGAGCTTTTTGGTAACAATGTACCTGTCATTTAATTCCTATTCTATCTATTTTCCTTTCTCCAGTTTGTGTCTTTGGCTCGTGTAGCTGATAGTTAATAAATTTCAGTTTCAGATTCCACAGAATATGATGTGATGCTAAAATCAGGTAATTATGCTTCAATCCCAACTAATACCATTTGTGGGGGCAGGGGAGGGGGGAATCCCGTAACAGAAAAATGTCAGCTTGCCAGTTATTCTTATATCTGTAGGGCCTATGAACTAAACCAAACCAGGGAATCTCCCTGGCTTATGTTTCAAATAAAGGCTGGATGAAAATACCATACAGCTTTTATTCTGATGTTCTGACCAAAATGGTTGCAGTTTAATGGTTCCCACTGCACTGCAATGAGCTGTGGCTCCTATTCTTGGCATCTTAAAAAAAAAACCACAACTATACAGAATTATGCATAATTTACTTGTCTTATGATCAGATAGTTTTGTAGTGATCAGTCAGATCACTGTAGGGCTTTAATTCACTTTGCCTGATTTCTCCACATCAAGCACACCTTGAGGCTGGCTTTGTGTACTCAGCGTTCTCATTGCATGGAGAGGGGCAAAGAGACAATGACACAGCAAGCAGCAGGTGTGAAACAGAGATTGTAGCAATTGCAGCCAAATCACCTCCTGCTTGTGGAGTGTGTGTTGAACTGGTGGTGATGAGGCTTGTCCAGAGCAGGAGAAGGTGATGCAGTCTGGTAGGGGAAAGAGAATAGAGTTGAAACGGGAAGGGCAAAAAGGAATCAGAGTAGTCAAGAAACGTGAGTAGGTGATTGTTTCTACCTTGTCTGAAATTTTATCCAAGAACTTAATTTATCTTTCAACTTAACAGTTTTTTCAACCACTGATCTAGCTTCTTTTGTATAGCAGTGTCCTTTGACCTGTATGCCAAGCCAGGTAACAACAGGACTCTAACTCTGATGAATCCCAAAAAGTCTTTTTATCAATGGAGGCTGCGAGTTCCTTCTAACTGTGTGGTGAGACTGGTGGTTATCAATCTGCATGGTGTCACTCCAGAGAGCTGTGCATCACACCACTTGTCAGCATATGATTTCCTCCTTCCACTGCAAAACAAGATCATTACCAGGTATGATAGAGAGAGCAAAGGCTTTTTCTATATTATGACTAATTTTTAATGGATTTGATTTCATACAGATACTGTCACAACTCAACAAAATACAGACTTTTTATAATATTGTATCCTATCACCTGTAGAAAATACATGTTTTATAGTAGTCCAGTCACAGGGACTGTGTCTGTGGAAGGCTCCATCCTCAGAGTCACCATTTGCATAAGTAAGATCATATGATATTTAAACTTGAGTGGCCAAGCTCACTTTTGAGAATCAAATTGCATGTATGGACACAATGAATCTGTCTTTGTCAAAAAACAAACAAACAAACAAACATAAAAAGGCAAGTTTGGGAGTCTGAGATTGGATGGTTTCAAGAAGGGAATTTTTAATTTTTTTTTTGTGAGAACATTCAGGAAGAAGCTCTCTGAGCATGAAGATTCAGTTAGGAATCTGAAATGCACTTCTCCAGTAGTGCTGTAACTTACTTGGGTGGGTGGTCATCTTCAACTCTGTTAACAGCCTTATTTCTTTCTTCACACAACAAAACATAACAGCTTGCCATTGTTGGCATGCAGTGAACACATGGTTTGTGTAAGGACTTACTCTCAGATTGTAGCATAGGAAGGAGAATCCTGTTCCTGATGCTGGGCTGCTGTTGATTATGGATTATTGCTGCGACTGTTACTCCACTGTGCGTTGTTAACAATGGCTGAGATTTTTAGGAAACGCAAGTGTAGACCTGGCCATGAGCATGGAAGCACCTGGAAGACAGCAAAACTGACACAGGGGTATGAGATAACATAGTCAGAGAACACTGATGCAGTAAGCTGTAAGGCAAAGTTCAAGAGTGTGCATTAGTGCCTGTCTATCAAAGAACCAAAACAGAATTTTTTGTCTGAAATTATGTTAAATGCCTAACAGTACCTCAAAAAAAAAAAACCTGACTTTTTCTGGTTACTTTTCTTTCCACTGTAGAAAATGTGTGGTTTTGCATATGTCTATCAGTTTTCTACTGGAGCCAAAAGCAGCTAGTGACTACTTAAGACAGACATAGTAGAACCAACAATAATATGTCCAATAGCCATGGCAGCCAGTAATTATGGTATTTACAGCCATTATTCCCTAACATTTAGATCTAGGGTCACAAGTGATGACTAAAATAATTCTCACCAGTTTGTGTAAACTGCAGCAATACAGCTGTTCAGTGACAAATGCTGAAGAGTGAGCAAGCTGTGATGGTGAGGTGTAGTGTAAGAACAAGCATCTCGTGGAAAACCCTTCTCATAGCTTGCCCTGCTGCTCTGATGATACTGTGACAAAAGGTACAGCTAGAAGATAAGCCAGGCTGTCAGCTGGTTTGATCAAGGTGCTGAAAGATTTCCATGTGTCAGTGCAGATAGGGCTCAAATAGTTATTTTATAAAGCTTTTGTCAGTTATTACGATAAAATGGATTTAATAATGTCTGCAAGAGAAGCAAATCATAGACACATTTTCTAGTGTCTCATGTGAAATGGGAACCAGGAATAGCCTGCTCGAAAGCAGAAGACAACTACTTTCAGTTTAAGGTTCAAAAATTTTATTTTAATGCTGCCAATGTGTTTCTCAGTGACAGTGGCAGGGCTGCGGTGGAAATATTCTGTTACTGTGAGGTCTTATTGCTTTCATTTGCTGTGCAGGGAAAAGAGAAAACTGCTAGAAATTTTTAACACAGATTTATCAATTAATGAAAAGAAATCCAAAATATGCTGTGGGTTTCAAAATGGAATAAATGTAAGAGTGAATTTACAAATGCAAGATGTAGCACCTCAAATTCCAAGTAGAAGTAAGTTTTCAAGATAAGATTATAAATTAACTCATTACTCAAGTAGAAGGTCAATAAGAATTAATAGTTTCCATGCATAGAGCTTCACATTTTGTGTGATAGCTTTTGTGACACGAAACCAAAGTGAATGTTAATAGAATAGAAATGTTTGGGCTTATCTGTTGCAGAGATGCTTCTCAGCACTGCTGCACTGGCACTTGTTGTCTTTTCAGACCTAACCTCTGTTACCCAGTGCCACTACCACTACCAAAATAACATAATCTGCCACTCCCTCTCTGAAGCTTCTGCAGGTCTGAAAACTCCAGGGCACTTGCTAAGCAAGAAAAAGGATGATTTTTTCACCCTGAGTGACTAAGCCTCAGTGACAGGAAACTCTCTAGCATCTTGTGTGCTATCAGCTGGCTGGAAGAATAAAAGGGAAGTGGTAGCCAAAGGAATGCATCAGAAACACAGATGACCAGATCACTGTTATTTGAGCCTGGTTTCTCGGCAAAGATGACTGGAATATGGGAATTTTTTAATGCATTTTTTGCACTATTTCAGGTGGTGTGGACCTGGGGCCTGGACTCCTTCTGTTGTACGTTTAACTTCATCTAGCAATGTAATGTTGCTTACCTTCTCACTGGACCAAAGAGAAGGAAGCAGCATATTAAAAGCTCACTTTCAAGCCATTCCTAAAATCAGTAAGTAATTAATAGAAACAAGCATCTGATGTAAGCACACTTATTCCTGGTTTTGCCTCTTAAAAAGTTGATATTGCTTTGAACGTACCTGTGGGAGGGACTGTTGGCATATAAGTCAGGGCATTATCATTCTGACTCCCTTTAAAAAAAAAAGTTTGAGAACTGAACAAAGAATAGGAAAAAATCCTTTGGTCTGGGAGACTTTTTTTGTCTTTCTGATAACTACTCAAGCCATACTTGCCAGACATTGCTCTTACTACATGGAAAACGCTGAGCAGCGGCAGCAGAGCAGCCAGCCAGATAGCTCTACAGGCACTATATGTCTAAGCAAGGCTGGATAGTCCCAGTCAAAGAACAGCACTTTTATCAGTTTTGGCAATCTATCCCTGGCTTGTAGAATGTGTGTTAAAAGAAAATGGAAAACAAGAGCAAACAGTTCTAATTCATCTTTGTTCCTTTACTGGAGGTAGTGCTCAGTGCAGTTAAATGTGTAAGAAAAGTGTTTCAAGACCTAAGAAGTATATTCTGAACCTTTGGGGCACTGTGAATTTTACATGAGTTCCGGGTGATTAGTGAAATATTTTGAGTAAAGATAAACTGTAGTATTGTAGAGGAGATGAAGGGGTTTCACCAGGTCAAGTTTAGTGACAGTCATTTGGTAAGGCCTTAGTGTAAGAATTTTGACAATTAAGCAAGTGACTATTTTCAAACTTGCGGAACAAACCACGGGGGATAAACTTTTCCAAAGCTTACACACTTCAGCTTGTGTCTTTGTGGATGCTGCTTAGGCAAGTACCTATCCCATGCACATTACTAACCAGAATGGCTTAATTCTCCTGAAGATGAGCATTCCAGATGATATTTAGATTGGGGTTTGCCACAAAATATGGTTATTTTCAAAATTGTCTTGATTTCTGTCATATTCATGTTTGCATTCATGATGTTATCTAAAGGGAACTAAAAGCACTGAGGACTGCATATCTGGGAGAGTCCTTGGTAGAAAATAAAACCTCAAAAATATTGTTCAAGTGTGGCATGAATTTTCAGACTGAGAACTGACACATAAACTTCCTGGTTTATGTGAACTTAAATGGGGGTTTCCCTTCACTGGGCTGATTGCTTTTCAGTTTTTGATAATGCCTACAGAAAGGTCAGAAGCACGTTGGAAGAGGGAGGTTTGTTGCATCCACGTTTAGTTGCTTCTTCCACCTACCACGAAAAACATTTTTTTAAAGACTTCAATCAGAGCTGTTTTGTACTTACCCTTAATTACCCAATTTAATAAGAGAAATTCAGTGTGATGGAGAGGCGGCAGTTGAGTGATCTTCTGTTAATAGAGGCAAAATGTGAGTTCAATACTGTCACAACCCATTCTTCTAACTCAGTGCATAGAGAAGTGTCCTGGGAAGTGAAGTAGCCCTGCACTTTAACCCAGCTGAGATAACGGTGTTCCTTGCTGATACATTTCTCTCCCAGTGTGTGGTGGTCATTACGTTTCCTGGAACGGGACACTGAGTTCCCCTTACTACCCGAGTTACTACCCACCAAACATCGACTGCAGCTGGATCATCAAAGTAAGTTCCGGGAACTCTTCTGAGTAGTGATGACTCTATTTTATGTTAATTAGACCAAAAATTGGGAGAAATTACTTTTGATGTGGGTGGAACAGAGAGAAAACTTTATGGGATTACTGGACCTGACTTCTTTTCAGGCACCCATTTCTTTCCTGTCCTACATACACTTGCCAGCTATGGGAGGGAAACATTGCCAGCTTCCAAAAGTTTGAGTATTATTCATGACATAACCAAATTAATGGGTAAGATGACAACTCCTAGAAGGCAGAGAATATTAATAATAATCAGCACTTTTCTTCCATGTCAGAAAGAAAAAATGGTCATTTAAATCATGCCTCATATGATGGATACCACACTATATCTCCCTGAATTCTGCAGAAACAGGACCTTCTCTAGCTCAGAAGTTCAGCTCTGAATGTCCAACAAGTCCTTTGGCAGGACTTAAAATCTGCCCATGATTTCTACCAACTCCCCAGTGTGTTTGTCTGTTGCTCCATCAAGCATTTAAGTACCTTTTCACTTTCCCTGGTAAAGAAAGCTTTTTCATATATATGACTTGGGAGCAGTCTCTACCTTTCATGTGCTCAGTGAAAATTATCAGCAGGGTGTAGCACAAAACCCTCATCTCTATTCACAAAAGGAGTGGGAACACATGGCAGTACAAACATTGCATGAGCTTCTGATACACTGCTTTATGCTGCCTGCAGAAATGCTCACACTCCTTTATCTAGCACAGCCTGGCCAAAGTTGGGTCTAAAAAGATTTCTATAGATTTTTAAATTAGCAAAATTTTTTTGTTCTCCGAAGGCACTAATTTGCACAATAGAAATGTGGTACTTTCAATCTGCTAGTAAGTATACAGAGATTTGCCATCTTAGAAGCACAGGGCTTTTTCACCTTGGGAATGTGTGTCAGGGGTTTATCCTTTGATTTTTAGGCACCATTGCCTGGCTACAAGCTGTCACTAAAAATCCTTGTAATACAAATTCAAGAGAAGTCTCCAGGTTCCAGTAAATGTGATAAAGACTGGTTAGAAATTGATGGAGTTAGGTGAGTAAAGACACTATTTTCTGAGACATTAATTTGCATGTTGATGTTCTGCACAATGTACTGTACTTAGGAAAAAAATGTATCACCACTTACAGTGCAGAAAGAAACATTTAAAAAAAAAATGGCATGCTTCCGAAGAACTTTGGCAGCAGAAGGTTCTTAATTCTGCCCTAGTATTGAACATTTGTCATTATGTTAATTTAGGCATCCTGGTTTTTCTAGGGGCATTTACTTACTCTTTTTTGTTTCCCTTAAAGAGCGATAATGTAGAAAACCACAGGATTTTATGCAGCTGCAGATAAACTGTAAATTCCTGTCAGTGGTCTTGATGTAGGTGCAGAGGTTGCATCCATCAGAACTTTCATTTTGTATACCACTTACTCTTTAGTGACTGTAATTGTTACACTAACACTACCAACCCCCACTATTCTGAGTAATTTGCCTCTTGGAAGGTGCATATTGAAATAAGCAACAGCTGTTGGACTTGGTTCTATGATTTAACCCTTTACTGGATTTGCAGCTCTTGGGTTTGCAAACCTAAATGAGAAATCTGAAACCAAACATGCTTGAAGCAGTTTGTAAGGTAGATCCTGACATGGATAATCTTGCTGTGTTTTGTTTCAAAGTCCCAGAAAAGTTGTGGAGTGGAAAGCATCTGTAAATAGGCTTTCCAATACTTTTGTCGGGCTGTTTTTAACACCAAAATATAACTGACCTATAGTGTATTGTCTTAAAGCTTTTTAGTGTCCTTGCCTTTCAGTAAAAGTAGATGTAGCTGGGTGGTAATGGTCAGTTTGGTTAGAAATTAATAATTCTCACCTTTGCCTTGCTAGATACTGTAAAGCTCTTTCAGAAAACAACAGAAACAGAGAGTATGGCTATTCTGTTGCAATCAACTTCCATTCTGATGAACTGGTCACCCACAGAGGGTTTTATATTGAATATAAAGCCTTCAGTCACACAGACCGTAAGTTATTGAGCACATATTTTAATTTTTCAGGAGAAACCTTTGAGAAACCATGCTAGACAGGCCAACCACATACAAATCAACCTCCCTTTTATTCTTAACCTAATTTCAAGAGATAAATGTTTAAAATATGATTCTGTCTTTAATTGAAAAAATAGATGTATGCATTTGGATATAAGATGCTCATTTTCTAGCTTTTATCAACACTTCTGGGAGTAAAAATAAAATTTCCTGATTTCTGTAAATCTAACTATAAGGCACTTTGCTAACACCTTAAAATAGCCAAGCTGCAACATGAAAATAGTATGGCAGAGAGCCTCTAAGCATGACTCTTCTACCAGCAGAAGTTCACAACTCAACTCGCTCTAGATCAGTTTCCAGGTTTAGGCAAACTCTTTAGGTTTTCACTGACAGTTGAGGAGGACCCCTTACTAGCAAATGTTGCAGAAATGTGACTGTGTTTCCTATAGCCCTCTCCTGATTCCCCAGTCTATGCACTTCTGGATCAATGTTAGGTCTTAGGAGGCTTTTGAGGGTGAAACAGGAATTTTCAGGAGATACACATATTTACAAGTGATATTTCTTAAAAAAGAGAGAATACCTTATTTTTTCTATGCCTTTTATTTCCTTTACCCAATTAATGTCTAGGTAACTAAATTTCTCTGTAATTTCAAGAGATCAGATGAGTCTTTGAAACCTCTTCAGATCCTCAGCTTCCTTGACTGAATGTAGTTCTGTTCATTGTTGACATAGGAGCATTTATGTATTAAGGTCTCTGGTAAAGATTCTTTTTTCATGCCTTTGATTATTAATAAGTGGCAGGTTTTATGGTTGGTCATTCTACAGGACTAACACATTTTAGGGATTTCTTCTTCCACCAGTGAGTGTCTCTTTGTACTAGAAAAAGTTAGAAACTACACCACATCTTATGGTTACTCTGGTTACTGCCTCAAAAATGGTCTAAAGATGAGTCTAAGCCTGAGAATACATTTTTTAACAGAGAAAATACCCAGTCTTTATTAGAATCATAGAATATACTGAGTTGGAAGGGACCCATCAGGATCGCCAAGTCCAACTCCTGACCTTGCACAGGACAACCCAAGAATCACACCATGTGCCTGAGAGCATTGTTCAAATGCTTCTTGAACTCTGTCAGGCTTGGTGCTGTCACCACTTCCCTGGGGAGCCTGTTCCAGCGCCAAACCACCCTCTGGGTGAAAATACTTTTCCTGATATCCAACCTAAACCTCCCCTGCCTCAGCTTCAGGCCATTCCCTTGGGCTCTGTCACAGAGAAGAGATCACTGCCTGCCCCTCCTTCTCCCCTCACAGGAAAGTTGTAACTGCAGTGAGGCCTCCCCTCAGTCTCCTCCAGGATGAACAGACCAAGTGACCTCAGCTGCTCCTCATACAGTTCCTCCTCCAGAGCCTTCACCATCTTTGTTGCCCTCCTTTGAACACTCTCTAGTAGTTTAATGTCTCTTTTATATTGCAGTGTCCAAAACTGCACACAATATTCAAGTGAGGCCTCCCCAGTGCAGAGCAGAGCGAGACAATCCCCTCCCTTGCCCGACTGGTGATGCTTTGCCTGATACCCCCAGGACACAGTTGGCCCCCCTGTCTACCAGGGCACTGCTGACTCATCTTCAACTTGCCATTGACCAGGACCCCAGGCTGCTTTCTGTGGCACTGCTCTCCAGTCTCTTGTTCTCCAGTCTATACACACAACCACGGGTTGCCCCATCCCAAGTGCAGAATCCAGCACTTTCCCTTGTTAAACCTCATGCTGTTGGTGATTGCCCAGTCCTCTAATTTGTCGGGGTCTAGTACTGTCTGTGTGCTCTGCTTCTGGCACTGAGGAGCAGGCAGATGGCTCAAAGTTATTTAATGAAGTCTTAGTCATGATCATAAGGATCTGTATTAAGACTCAGCAGGAGGGGTAGAATAGCTGTGATGTGTCAGTATCAAGTCATTACAGTAATTTGTGGAAGACCATCTGAGAGCACTGGTTTTCTAGGTCAGCTGTGCCTGTAGGACAAGTTAAGAGGAAGGGGTACAAAAAAATTCATCTCCTGCATCTGTAGGACCTGCAGTCACCCACCTCAGATTAGCTTCTGCATATTGTTTGGGTACCTATTAAAAAACAGTTATTAAAAATGACAGGCACTGCTCTGAGTTGACCTGGAAAGGAAATGCCAGCCATCAGCTGAATAACTTGGAGAGTGGTGAAGAGAAAATGGAAACACTGCTGACTACCTAGTGTGTGCTTTCCTCCCACGGACATCACATGCAAGGCAGTGAAGAGGACTAAATTACTTCAAATTGGAACTGATAGGACAACTGTGGGACAAATAGGTTTGGTCCTTCAATCTGATGTAGCTCTTAATTTGCTCATGATGCTAGATGAGAAAAAAATTTCATTTGACTTGAGCAGAAAGAGGAGAACTTCCAGCTACCTTTTCTTCTACAGATAATTTTTTTTCCTGGCACATCTGAAAAAGTGGAAGACAACAAACATTTTTTATATATGGCAAAGGAACAACTGACCATCTATACTAGGTTTTAGTTTAGGTGAATGTGAAAGAAATGCTTGGTGAAAGACTGTTACATAATGAGATTGGATTTGGAAAAGGTTTGATAGGGCACTTATTCACATCAGTCATTTACTTGAATGTAGAAACACAGGTTAGTTTCTGCAACATTTTAATATCAGGAAATATTTATTTATAATATTAAAGAGAATGCCTACTTTTGATTTTTATTTTCCTTCTCCTTGGATGTTCCTCTGTAAAATGCATTCCCTTAACAAATTAAAGAAGTGTTTGCTATTGGTAGTTATGTATCTGTGATGAATCACTTTGAACCCTCAGAGTGAGGCAGTTACTGTGAGATTAACGTACCAGTTTCCATTCAGGTGAATATTGATTAATTTGATTCACACTGATTGATTAAAATCTTTGACAGATTCTCCCAAGTAAGATATTATTTCCTTTTTTAACATTCAATTTATTTTACAAATGACACTAGCTTCAATTTTAATAGCCATTTTAATATGTCTTCATGGTATAGTCCTGCATTAATGCATTTAGACTGTACTAGCATTTCTAGTGCCATTGTTTTCTTATTTTTCTAGTTTGTCCTTAAATATGCAGATAGAACATGCATTCCTTCAAGTAATCTGTCTGAATGCTGGAAAGGCTGCTCAAATGGTAGTGATGAATTAGACAGTGGTAGAGCAGTTATTTCTTGTTTGTTATCTTCTTTAAAGAGTTTGTTCCACGAAGTTTAGAGGCTGCCTGAAGTTCTCTAAAATATTGGTGGTGATCTTTAAGATCACATGAGGGATGTGGGTGAAGATATAAAAGTCTGGAGAAGAGGCTGTGTAATGCATCTCTTTAAAGAGTGGGAGAACAAAAAAAATTGAGAGGGAATTTTACACCAACTTTTATAACTAAATCTTCCAAAGGAAAAAAATAGCACAACAAGTCAACTATTTGTAACCAGTGGAAATATTAAAAACCAGCATGGAGTTTCAAAATATTGTTTTAATTCCTCGCTGTGAGAGGATAAATAAAGGAAAAGTTGTACTTTCACGCTGTCCTGTGTGACAAGCTTATCAGTAAGTGAAGAAAACACAGTGAGGAAAAACTACAGAAAATTGTTTCCAGAGAACAAATGGCCAAGAGTAATTACCAAAGTGAAAGGACATTTTTATTGTCATTCTGCCAATATCTGTTATGGAATGCCACATAATTTTTGCTCATGATCTAAATGACAGGCTAGAGTAGATGCTTATGATATAGGGAAAGTGCTACACAGTAGAAAGAAGGATGTACTTATAAATGCTTCTGAGATGCTGGAGATCATATATGTAGAAAAATAAAGACAAGATCTGAACACAGGGAATCAAATAGACAAGCGGATTGCCTAAGTTGCTTTTTTTTGCCAAAAAATGGCTAGGGGGGATAATAGTTGCTCAAAAGCTGACTTGTGAGTCAAAGTCATAAAAGTCTGAAAATATCTTCCCAGTCACCAGTGGGAAGGCCTTGGCTAGAGTATTGTATCCCAGTTGGGCACTGCACATCAAAGAAGATAAGGAACACTGAAGAGATGCCAGAAAGACTGACCAGAAGGTAGTCCAAGGTCAGAGAGCACAGCACAAGTTAGGTAATGAAACAAGTCCCTCTGTCACTGGATGCTCTCGAAACCGTGGTAGATTAATGTCCGACAGAGAGAGCACGGCAACATCGAGGTGACCTCTGGTAGGGTTTGTAGCTCACGGCTGATAACCTGCTATTTGATTTATAAGGCATTTACAGACCTTTTTTTCTTCAGGTTGTAATCCAGAACGGTTGAACTGTGGTGACAGGAAGTGTAAGCACCAGTACAGGTCTTGTAAAGACGATGACAGCTGTGGGGAGGACAGTGATGAAAACAACTGCTGTAAGTATATATATATTTTAGCTACCTTCTGAAAGATGGTGGAAGGCAGAAAGTGGAACATGCTTATCTTAATGGATAAATGTGTTGTTTCCAATTTTTTTTTCATGGTACGAAGTTTCATAATTGTGAAAATAAAACATGCAGAGTATAACTAGTTCTTGGAAGAGTCTAGAAGATTAATGAAGCCAAATCTAAGGTAACAGTCATTTTGGAAAAATTACCAAACCACATCTTTCTGGTGATCCTGTTGGAAGAGCACTTTTTCCTCAGGTGCCGCCAGATCTGTACAAAATAATGTATGGGAGAGAGATATAGTAGGCTGGGGACTTTTGCCACAGACAGTGCCAGTACTACCAGTGACTTGCTGGTAGTGACTTGCTGCATTTTTCCATTATAATTCTTGGCTTGCTTTGAATTTTAGGTCCTTGAGGTAGCCAGGAGTATGTCTTTGTTTGCTGAAAAAAAAAAATGCCTTCACTGTTGTTTAGAGGTGTAAACAACTGGTAATAAGAACAATGGTGATGAAAGCCTATGGCTGAGATGTGTCAGGATTCTCACATAGTAACTTTTGATAGTCCTTAGAAAAAAATTATTTGAGAGAGGTATAAAGTTCTTCTACAGTTTTCTCAATTTCACTTAAAAATGCAAAGGTGCTGTGAAGATTTGTAATTGGTAATGTCAGTAGAGCTGGTGGAGGTAAAAGAACAGATCTGACAAGCCTAGCTGGCTCAGTTTAGAGTTAAGTAAAATGGTGGTGAAGACAGTTGGATGCTTTTCAGTCTTTTTCCTCAAGGATAGTGAAGATTGAAATTAGTGTAATCATTAACCAGAGTAAAGCATTCCACTGTACCTCCTCCATAAAGGGACCTGTTTATACCAGTACAGCCTATGGCTTCCAGCAGACTGGAGTGTGCAGTTTGGAACAACTGGTTGAACGTGCAAGGGTTTTTTTAATAATTTGAAAGCCTGGCTCCTAACGTGTGGCACTATCTTCTCTCTCTTATTTCAGCCTACAAACACTGCTCTCCTTATGCATACAAATGCCTCAATGGAAAGTGCTTGCTGAAACCAAATCCTGAGTGTGATGGGAAGAGAGACTGTGCAGATGGATCTGATGAAATGAACTGTGGTGTGGTAACATTTATGTAAAAATTAGTTTATGACTTGGGAAACTGAGTCAGGAATTTGTGTTACAGTCAAGCACTGTTGGATAAAGAATTGATTAAATCAAATGTAAGTTAGAAAAAAATAATTCCCAGCGACACCTGTATGAAAATGTATGTCTGGAATTTTGCATGGTTTCTTTTAAATCCACTCATCCATTCTGCGTGTGACGACTTATTTCAAGCAATGAACACTTCCAGGACAATTAAGAAGGTCTTAGTGCTTGTTGCAGCTGAATGAAATGCGGTCAAAGGGCTGTGTTTGGAAGGAGGGGAAAAATGTGAGAATGTATTCAAGTGCACTTTTGGAAACAACCCAGCTTTGAATCATGCCTACATTTTTTTTAATTATTTTTTTTTAAATTTTTAACCTCTTTAGAAAGCTGCAAGGGAGGACAGGCAATGATTGGCTTATATCTCACCTGCCCATTGAGTGGGATTGGGCAAGTACTCACCTTTTTACAAATTGCACAGTAAGAAAATACTTTTTTTCCCTTTCTTTTTTTTTGTGGTCTGCGGATAAAAGTTTGTGTTAAGCATGGCAAAGTGAAATGACCTTGTGGGCTTTGATACTATTGTATTCAATGATTTCTATTAGCTTGTGGGAGACACCAGATTAAGAAAAACAGAATTGTTGGAGGTGAAGATGCAAGATCTGGAAAGTGGCCTTGGCAAGCAAGTTTACAGATGGGAGCACAAGGTCACGTATGTGGCGCATCTGTTATTTCCAACAGGTGGCTCATATCTGCTGCCCACTGCTTCCTGGATTCTGATTCTGTGAGGTATGAAGAAATTACATTTTCTCAGAGTATGTACAGTTTAAAAACCTTACAGCGTTGCTTTCAAAAGTCTGCAGTAGCTATTCCTTGTCTAGAGGAGTTGATTCAGGTTATAACTCTGTGACATATCACTACATCAACACTCAGTATTGTATTCTGCTGGCTTCAAAAAATCTGAAGTATTTGAAGCTATTCCTTTCCTTCTATTGTCAGTCAATCCTGAAAGATAAAACACTGCTTTGTTAGATTTAGAGTAAACACCCTTTTTTTTAATTCTCTTTTTTTTTTTTTCTTAGGACAGGGATTTTCTGAATAGAATCTATGGCCTTTTCTCTTCAGAAGAGTTCCTATTTATTGATAATTGGAGTGTAAAACTCACTGACGTTCAGTTTAGGTAGTGCAAATTGAAAAAACATGCCTCCTACCTGTGGCAAGGAGGAATTAGAATTTAATAATACACTTCTCTGACTCCCAAAGTGTGGTGCATTGCACAGAATTGATCTTAGAGCTCCAGGAAATGAATTGTTTTCAAGAAAGCAAGCAAAACATTACTTAATATTTTAGGAGACAGAGATTATAGTGCATCTATCATCTTCTGAAGTAGTATTCTACTCCATTCACTTTGGTTTTGATGAATCTCATATAACACTGAAAGCTGATTAAAATGGAGGGAACTAACACTACATCACTTTGCAACGGGATCTCCTAAAAGCATTTTCTTTACAGATACTCTGTTCCTTTGGGATGGAGAGCATATATGGGCTTACATACTATTAATGGAAAGAGCAATCGGGTAGCTATGAGATCAATCAAGAGGATTATTGTCCACCCACAGTACGACCGATCTATCTCAGATTATGACATTGCCCTGTTGGAAATGGAGATGCCTGTATTCTTCAATGAGCTGGTACAGCCCATTTGTTTACCCAGCACCTCTAGAGTATTTCTTTATGGAACTGTCTGCTATGTAACTGGCTGGGGAGCCATAAAAGAAAATAGTATGTTCATTTCTTGGATATACTTCTGGCAAGTTTGGCTTAGTTTTAAACTCTAACAATGAAATATTTATACTTTAAAGCAAAAAAAATCCCCCAACCCTCTGGTTTACTTAGTGGGTCTATAAAAAGCTAGAAAAGATCTCCTTAGCTACAGTCTGTGAATTCTGAATGTTTGCAGGCGATAAGTGACAAAATGCACACTCTGGTGTCACGGATCATTGAAAAGCAAATGACCATAGATTTACAAAAATGTGCCCGTGCTCACGGCTCATTTTATCTGGTGAATAGGTATCTTGCATGTAAAGAAAACAGTGACTTGCAGCTACTGCAGAGAAAGAATTTGTCTCTGTATCTACGTTTGTGACAATGTGGGGCCATGAACAGCAGTAATTGCAAAAATATCATGGAGAATTTTTTGTTTTCTCTGTCTCAGCTAAAGGCAATTTAATGTATGCCCCCTGCAGAGTTTTACCTCTGTGCTTGAAATAGCATACGGCAGGAAGGAGGCAGAAAAAAAGAGAACTGAATTGGACAGAGGAGACTGGAAGCCCAGGGGGTCTCAGCATTAAACACGAGCCAGCACTGAAACCTGGGCTTGGACAGCCCCTCAGCACTTCAGAGGTCCCCACAGTTGTGCTGAGACTTAGTTCCTCATGTTTGGTCAGACGCCCCTAGGCTGTGTAGTTCTGGCTTACTTAATATGCCTTTAAAAAATATTTAAGTCTCGTTAATAACAACTTAACGAAGTGTAAACAGCTTTACAACTGATGCCCTGATACAATGTCTTGCTTTTTATCAAAATTACATGGGTAACATTCAGATTCAATATAATGATATGTAAAATAAACGTATTTTTCCATCCAAACCCACCCTCAAAGCTGACTAAGCAAACAAACCAAACCCCTGTATTTCCTCTGATCATCCAGGTATCAAAAAGGTTATGCACACTATTGGGCCAAAATATGTCTCGGGATTTCTAGTTCTTAATGACACCTTATGTCAATGCTACAGTACAGAATTAAGTTCTTAACATCATGTGTGACTTGCAGACTGTTTTTTGGGTTTTGTTGGGGTTTTTTAATTATTTGGTTTTCCCCCTTCAGCTTTATTCCTTGATTTAGAGAGGATTGAAAACAACATATAAATTTCACTTTGTAGGACTTGGACATTTTTTGGGGGTGTAACTGTAGTGTGAATAATAACATATTGTCTTTGGACATGATTTGAAATGGTATTCAAAGATAGTTGCCCTGTGTGGAATCTTATTTTACAGTTTGAATGGTGCTTTTACTACTTTCTGGCAGAACAAGCTCATTGGGATAAAGACTAGGGGGATGGAAAGGTGGTGCATTGGGACCTCTGTGTGGACAACAACTTTTAAAAGTGCAGGGCAGGCTCCATTTGAAGGGAATGAAATTACTCTGCTATCATTAACTGGGTAGATTTAGAGCTTGAAGCAATTCTCTTTTGTTTTTATAAGAGGTATCTCTATTAGAAATTTGTACCACTTTAACCTCTGCAATACTATTTGTATATTTTTCCAGGTCATTTTGCCAAAACACTACAAGAAGCTCGAGTGAGAATAATTAACCAAAGTGTTTGCAACAAGCTGTATGATGATCTTATTACCTCACGTATGCTCTGTGCTGGGAATCTCAATGGTGGCGTTGATGCATGCCAGGTATTCTGGAACTTGTTTGAAAACTGTTGAGAGTTGTGGGTTGTTTGTGTGACTCTTTTCTTTTTTATTTTCTTTTTTTGTTGTTGTTTTTGTTTGGTTTTTTGTTTGTTTGTTGTTTTTATTAGTAATAGAGACATCTTGAGTGTGAGGGTATGGTTAACTTAAAATGACAACTAAAGGCTCTCCAAAATAAGGAAGGAAATTTGGCATAGATAATCTCTGACTCTCTTGAGAAATGTTGTTTTGCAAAGACAAAGGGCCAATTGTGTCCAGGAGAACTGGTTTTCATCTTCTTTTATATGAAATACAACTGTAGAAGAAAAATATAAGGATAAAAGGAATAAAGTTAGGTCCATCTGTATTAATTTACATTAATTTCATTTTTTCTTTTTAGTGTCTGGGTGTGGAATTGCTAAAACACTGTAACAGTGTGATGAGTAATGTATTGTTACAGTTACAAAGAAATACAAATGGAAAAGCTAAGCTAGGTTTGCGAACTGCAGCTGGAATGTTCCCTTTTAATACAACTTTTGACTACATCATGGTATCATAAGTTATATGACCTCACTTGTTTACACACACAATCAGAAACTGCCCTTTGGACGTGCTTCAATTTTCCTGACTCTGCTTTCTTTCTCCATCTCAGTTATTAGACTAGTTGTTACTTTTTTTGTATTTAAATTTACGATAAATATCAACTTACAAAATTGCAAAAGTGGTTTTTATACCCCATACTGTGTAAAGGGAGAGAAATGTGTTACTGATTTTTAGACCGTGGCAATTTGATATAATTTTTGTATAATATATAAATTCTACTATTTTAGTGTAATAGGATAATTTTTGCAAGATTGTAGCTCAAAATGGGTCAAACTTCTTTATGTGGATTAGACTATTTGCAGGATTTTCTTGCAGTCCTGAAGTTCTAATTCAATGAATTATTATTTCTGTTAACTTCATGTACAGCTTGTCTAGACCTTGGAATTGTTTTGTTAAAGCATGTTGGTTTAGAAGTGTGATGTTCCTCCAAAATTGTATTGCTTAAGAAATGCCCTTGAATTTTCAGATGGACATTTTTAAGCATTTCAGCTATGTATCATACTGGCCAGTTTCCAACACAATATGCTGTGTTTGACTCCTAGCATGCTGGCCCTCTGGGCCTTTAAGTTCTTGGTCTGGGTGGCATCTTTGCTATTTTTTTGTTTTCTGTCACTAGGATATTTCCTGTACAGTGCTAGAGAGGAATGATTTTGGCAGCTCAGGAAACCCCCACAGCACCCTGAAACTCTTTTACTATAGTTCCAGACTTGTAGTCATCCTGTTTTGTTCATTTCTTCCTGGACATGTAAGCTGTGCATGTGTTGCACAAGTTATGTGAAGCTTCTACATGCCTTTCTTTCATCTTTAGAGGATCTGATACTTACAGTGAAAAATAAAACATTTACTCTTTCAGACTGTTTTCCTATCACTCTGGGATGTTCTTCGATCTTAGTTCCTCTATGTAGGATCCTTCCTCACATCACCAGCATACAACCCTTTTGGTCTTTCAGAACAGGCTGTGTAATGTACTGGACTATGTATCCTCCTTTCTCCAGTCACTTTGGGATCAGCCTCTTGGATCATTAGAATTGCTAGTAGGACAGCAGCCTGAGAGAGAGGAAGAACTGCTCTGGCTCCTTCTCTTATATCTAGATAATTTTGTTTGGTTGGGTGATGGAAGGCTTTTCTACTATTACTCTTTTCTTGGTACATGGCTTTCTTCTGACCTTTTACATGTTTTAGCTCCACTTGGGAGCAGCAAACAAGTCCCAGGGTCACTTTGGAGGCAGCTGAGTGCCTTGTGTGCATAAGGAAGAGCTGCAGAGAGGAGCTGCACTGTAGCAGTGAAGGGCACAAAAGCATTGATGAGCCTGAATGCATTTGGATCCTGTGAACTGAACTGAATCGAATTTTTTATTTTCCTACATTGCTGTGCAAAGCTGCTTGTTCCATTTGAGGACCGGGTTCTTATTTGCACATTCCTTAGACTTTATTCCTTCCTTTCCATCTACATGTGTAGACTTAATGATAATACTTAATTGTGCCTGGTCTGTTTTGGGGGTTGGGGCTTGGTTTAGTTTGTTGGGTTTTGTTGATGTTGTCTGTTTGGGGAGTTGTTTGTTTGTTTTTAACTGGGGGGAGGTGGTATCTTTCTGTTCCTGTTTAACACACAGCATGAGAGTTCTGCCATCAACCTGTGAGCAATTCATGATCAAATGGTGGTAGAATTTCCTGTTTCCATCCCTATCATCATCTCTCCCCATTTGGGCTGTGTTGAATTGTTTCATGAATCCTGCAGTGGAAATTAGCAAGGAGTACTGTTATAAACTACTTCTTGCCAATGATTTATATTGCTTAGTGTGCTATTTCCACAAGTTAAGATAACTGAATAAATTTGGTGTCTAGCTGGGTACATTCTATCCAGAATTTAGACTCTAGTATTAAGTTTTGATTTGAGAAACAGAATGGCAGGTATTTACTGTTCTTAAACAACTTAACTTTTGTTACAGTGCTCTGTGTGTGTGTGTATACTAATGGCTGGACTCCCTTCATTTTAGGGAGATTCTGGAGGTCCCTTGGCCTGCACAGGAAAGGGAAATAGATGGTATCTTGCTGGCATTGTGAGCTGGGGTGAAGGATGTGCTCGGCGCAATCGTCCTGGTGTGTACACGAAGGTGACGGCACTTTATGACTGGATCCATCAGAACACAAACTGATCAGCCAAGGAGAAAATGCACATCATCTCTGTATGAAAGACACTTCCTACTGTAGCCTATCTGATGACATAAAAGGAAAATGCCATTGACTGTTTCTTTGTGAAAGAATACACTTTCTTAATGAAGAAACTATAATTTGTGGTTTATCTAGAAATAACTGATCAGATCCAGAGCAACATCAGGTTCCTTATGGATTCATCTTCCTTATCCCCATTACTGGAAACAGCACTGCCTCAAGAACAAAACAAAATGGATTTGAATCTGTAACAAAAATCCAGCCAAATCTCTCTTGTGCATGTCTTCTCTTCTTCCATATCTCTTGCTATCTATATATCTCTAAACATATATCTGCATATTCAGAGTCATATTCCATATATATTCAGCTCATGTATATTGCCTTAGTCATGTTCCAGGATTCTAAACATAAATAATTATTTCATATTTCTCAAAAATACCAGTAGTGTTTAGTGTACAAAGCTTAGATTAATTCATCCTCTTGTTATGCTCCCACTGCCCGACTATTACTTTCTGGGCTGTAACTTTTGGGTTTTCTCTTTTGTTTTCCTAAAAATACCATATATATTGCTCACAAATGTTAGGATGTAAGAAATTTCTCTTAAAGAACTAGAAGAATGTGATGCCTAGGTAAATGGAAAGAATTAATCAGTTGTAATTAATTAAACTAAAAAACCCTAATGCTTCTTCTTGCATTGTCTTTACAATTTGAACATAACTGAAGGGTTTAATGTTTTCAGTTTGTTACAGATGTATTTCCCCAGCTCTGTCTCTGGCATGCATTGTGAATCTTAAGCATGTGTTCACTGTTTTTCCTGATTTCCTTGGTCCACAGCAAGCAGAGTTTCAAGCTCAGGATTTTTGGGTTTTGTATCTTTCTGGGCTGTGCCCATGTGGCCACATTTCATTGAAAAGGACATGAAAGGAAAATAGATTTATGTGATTGGATTCATCCTCGGGCTCAAAAAAAGTAGAAAAGGAAATGACAGCCACATTCCTTTAACTCTGTCAGTAAATCTGATTTTGATAATTACAATCTCCTGATCATCCCAAATCTAGCTGATTTAAGATTTCCAAAACTGCTTATGGGACTTCAGAATACTGGTATTTAACTTAATAAAAGATTTATTTAAATGGCCTTAAGACCATGCAGATGGTCTTTAAATTGTGCTCAATATTTGGAAGTGTTTAGCTTTCACATTTAACGTATTTGGAAAAAAAAAACAACCAACAAAACAACAACAACTACAAAGAAGTTGACAATTTGAATGTCTGTCATTGCTGTTCACACAGAAAACTTACTCTGCAGCACAAAAACATGTGATCTTTAGTTTTAGATCCACCTTGGAGGCATGTGGGGAAAATGCTGTCATGTGCTACCACTGTATTCTGCATGCAGCTAGATTCTTCTTTCTAACACTAATATTGCTTTTCCTTCCTTTCTCTATCTAGTGTTGGGCACCTTACCTTGGCTTCTGTCAAACTTACAGCATAAGGTGTACTCAAAGCCTATATTTTAGAAGTTTACTATCTTTAATGGCTAGTCAGGCATTCACATCTTCCTTTTTAATAAACACCCGCTAAAACTGCAAGTGGATATGTTTTATTTGTTTTTGCCTCTGAAACCCTAATCCCCAGGTGCAATCAGAACTACATTTGTACCTTGGAGTTTCATCTTTTTGTAAAGCTGAGCCTAGTGTAACTCTATTTCTAAAGTGCACGTTTAAAGGCAGAAGTTTCTTTTCCTCATATTGAAACCAGAGATGTCTTGGCTAGGCAAGAAAACAGTTTTCCTGCTATTCTGTTTTAGATAAAAGCCTAGCCCAGAGAGTTCAGGCCAGTTCTCGACTTCTCATTTTATTTAAGAGTTTCTCAGCAACATGGTCAGAAGGGCTGGCACTTCACATGCAAGAAGAGCACCAAGTGTGGAAGATTCCCCCAGATGAAAGGAACTCAACACTTTAAGGAGGTCCTTCACAGATATATAAAGAAAATAAGGACTTTGGCCTGTGCATGGTGAGATCCATAATCATTAACTCATTTGACTTAGAAAAACCGTTTTGGTTTCAGACAATTCTGTAGGAGGGTAATGCCTTTTACTGTGAGTGGAAATTATATAAATGAAGCTGGTCTCCAGCCAGTGTACTGAGAACCAGCTGAGAAACGCTTTTCTAGTGAAGATGTCCCAGGTAAAATCTTGTAGATCCAGACACATGTTATAATCTTGATGACCACACAGCTTCATCCTCAGTCCTCAGGATTCTCAGAACCAAAATATGGGGTTATACAGTTTGTATTTCTTTTTACTTGCTGAATAAACATAAGACGTGTACTCAGTTCCATGGAGGGCCTTTGCCTGGGTGGCTGTGACACAACATCAGGAATCTGAACCCTGGGCATCAGTAGCCAGATGAGTTGCAAAAATTTAAAAAATCAAAGTGGCAGGGTGGGGAGAGAGAGCATCCCAAGCTTTTGGCAGGAAAAAGAAGTAGCAGTAGTCTGAGTTGGATACCCAGGCAGCAGAGAAGGGAGTTGCTGAGAGAGGCTTTGTTTGGCTCTTAATGCATGATCCTCCCTGTGCTGGAACAAAAGAGTAAGCAAGAATGCAGTTACCAGCTATGTGCCCAGCCCTGTAGATCCAGAGGGGAGAGAGATGCTCTGTGGGGAGGAAGGAGAAACATGAGGGTGGAGTCTGAACAGCAGAAATAAGAGGAGGTAGGATGAAGGATAGTGGAGAGATTGGGGGTGGAATCAGCCCTGTCTGCAGTAAGTGGTTGTGAGTGACTTTAAGTGCACAGCAGTGTTCACATGGGAAGTTAATGTAAACCAGATCACCCTGATTGCTTCGTAAAAACGTGCCCTGTAGAGCATAGGTTGAAATTGAAGGTCACCTTCCTCTTCTCAGATCTGTACTTTGTGTTCTTGGGCTGGTTTTTTTTGTTTGTTTTATCTGAAAGCAGCTTCTCAGTTTTAGTTTGGATCGTATGTTAACAGACAGAAATGGTTCTTTAACACCAGATGTGATTTTAGGCAGTATAACCAGCTAGAGAAAGGACAGTTCACAGCACAAAGATCAGTAGCATTCATTTCTTTTTTGTCCATACAGGGAAACCAGAATTACAAGCGTGGGTAGAGTCACAGCCTAAGCAGACCACAAGCTACATGATCCTTTACTCAGTTTATGCTGTTCAGAACCACATCTGTTTAGCTGCATGGATAACATTAATAGTAATTTATTGCTTTGGCTGACAGCAGCAGGGAAAGCACTCTGGTTGCTTTCAAAACCGCCTCAGCGAACGATAACGTTGCTGAAGCTTTAGTCACTTGCTTGTCAAGGGCTGGTACAGGAAGGTTGGCAAACTGGAAAACCTAGTATTGCACAGGAGAGCACTGTAGTTCTCACGGCTGGGCAAATTGATACTTCCTCTGCCTCCTGTTTGCAGCTAGTGCAGCCACCTTTTTTTTGTTCTTCCAAGGAACTCCCCCTGTCTATCAGTGTTTTGAGACCACTCCTGCGAAAACTATCCCGACTCTCCCTGTTACTGTCTCCAGCCTCGGATCAGAACTCTGACTGTCCTGAAACCAGAAGGAAATGAGTTGCCTCTGTGCTCGCTTTAGAGACAGAGGTCCCCGCACAGAGACAGAAGAAATGAAAAGGCAAAGCTCTGCTCAGCAGCATGAGATTATTGAATTACAAGAAGATAATGTGGAGGAAAGCGAGCCTGATCACGACAAGCCTCTAAATGCTCGAACGAGAAAGGTAGGAATTTTACTTGCTCATTAGATTGTTGCTGTTGGGGAAAACACTACACGGGAAGAGAAATGATACTTTGCAGAAACATCTTGGGGGGGGTCCAGTTTGCTGTTTGAGGGAGAGGGAAAGGAGCTGAAAACCTACTTTTTCTCTTCTTATCAATGAGGTGTTCTAATACTGGAGTGGCATTTTAAGCTTTAACTTAGGAACTGAAGTTATATTTGGTACCCTGAGTTTTGCTTTCTATTTTCATGCGCTCTCAGTGGGATTGGGATCAAAATCAGAAAGGGGAAAAGTTGAAATCGATTTTAAAGCCAAGCTTCCCTTCAGTACAAACTAACCAGAAAACAGTGCTGCCAAAACAAGAATAAAATGTCCTCCAACAGAGCACTCTGGATTCTCTTTATCTTTGAGTAATTCACAGTTACTAACCATTATGTATTAACATTGTATTAACAGAATGCTCCAAAGCCTCAGTCAGGACTAACATATGAGTCCTGGGGACGGTAGCTCCAGTACTTAGCTTAAAGCTACAGAGCACACTAATTCTGGCAGAGATATAATGTATGTTCATAGGTGACTGTTGTGCAATGATTTACATTACTCACTCCAGGAAAATTTGTGACAGAGCAAAGATGTTTCCCACTTTTCTCTAGGCATGGCTGAGCCCCCCTGAGAGCTGCCTGTATTAGTCACACCACCCCTCCCTTCCTGCTCTTGGTGGAGTAACTGCAAATGCTTCCTTGTGCCAGCCCTACTGATCATCTCTGTGTGCTGATCCATTCCACTTGCTGGGCAAAACCCCCATCTATTCTACTGTATCAGGGGTCAGCTACTTCTCCTTTGGCCTGGTAAGCTGAGTCAGCTTGCTAGAGTGTGAGACAAATTTGAGGGAGGTGCAAAGAGGAACGGGAGAGGGTGAAAGAGAGGCAGGGGTGAGCTAGATCTGCTTGGCTATATTGCAAAACTTTACCCTTAAGTTTATCCTTCCCCTTCTCAGAATTGAGTTTTCATTCAAGCTCTGTTTCTGCTGATTCTGGCAATTGGCTTCCTGTCCTATAGGGACTGCTGCAAAGTTATCCTGCTTTGCTTTCTGGTTAGGTGGCAGGTTAATGAGAACTGCCCTGCCCATCAGGGAGAGATTTTTCTCTGCTGCTGTTGCTTCCCCCCAGCAGTCTTGTGATGCCTCTGGGCACTGCCCAGAGGCTCATGGACTAGTTGCAGAGCTGAAGGTTTTCTTGAGATCAAGGCAGTTTGCTCCGTGTGATTAAGAATTACACTTTGTCATAGTCTAAACACGTGGCGGCCCAATCGAAACTTGGGCTTGACAGCTGTCTGTCTGAACTGCTATCACTATATCTGATTTCAAAGTTGCACTCTAGGCAATAGTTACTGGCTTTTAAAATTTTTTTACATTCAAAATGATATGCTAGTCTTAAGTATTAAATTGAAGCTTCTTTCTTCTAACACATTTTAAAAATTAATACAAATACATATAATTGTTTTTATTTAACAACTGAAAGCATGCTGTAAGTCAAACCATATTCAGTTTTTGCTCTTTGTTCTCCACCAAAGCAAAGTTCTGTGTGCAGAGAGTGTTTCCCTTTTTCTGCCCCTGCTCCTGGAGAAATGACTCTTGTAAGCTCTTTCTGTAAGTGTCCATTTTCTCTGCCTGTCCACCTGCCACCCTCACAAAAACTTTTAGCCTGTCAGTGGATTCAGTAAAATTCAGTGAAAGCCTTTCTGTTATGCTGGATTCTTAGAAAGTTTAAAAAGTGAAGGGAGGTAACCTGGATTAGTGCCTCTTGCCAATCTGCATGTGTGTGGCCTAGACAACCTTTTCCTTACTTGGTACTAATGTCAAAAAGGATGTGGAGCTTACTACTGGGTTTGTGATGGATGGAGAGGAGGAAGGAGAAGGAATAAAAAGGCAGCATGATCTGCTTATGAATTCAAGCCCTTCCTTCAGTCTTCTGGCTGTGGAACAAAGCAGTTGAAATTTTCTGTATTGCTTTGCCACCTAAGTGAGGTTCTTATTGTTTGGTTGGTTCTGGGGTTTTGTTTGTTTGCTTTGTAATATTCATACCACTAAGTTAACTAATTAAAAGACTAATTCTTGCTATGGTCTTAAATAGTATTAAAAATTAAATATCAGGCAAGTATTGTCCTTTCTCTCCCACATGAATGTGCACAATCACTTTGGAGATAGTTTTCTTGTGGTCTCCTAGAACAGGTGAGATTCCCATTAAACTCTCTATTAAATATACTCAACAACCTTCAAGTTTCCCATCTTCTGAAGAAAAAGGGAGCCAGCTATAAAGGTCTCAGCTATTTTATGGTGGATATAATGCAACAGCATCTATTCAATAGCAGTCCCTTTGCTTTGGTGCTGGTACCCAGCAGCTATGCAGATTGACATCATCAACACTGCAAAGGTGAATGATTTTGGAAATACCTCTACAGACACCTTTTTGGTTGGGAGAGATGGAAAACATTAAAAGGACAGCTTGTGGAACATGCAAATCAAATTCACGTAGTTAAAGAGGGAGCCAAGAACACACCTTTGTAGTACTTTGGCTTTAAGGGCAGTTTAGGAGTTGGAAATTCTGCACAAATGGGAATTAAATGTTTTCCGCCTTCCTGTGAAAGTCCTTCACCTTCTGCAGGTCTACGTTCCCACCTGCAGCAGTAGTCAAGGGTGGGAACCCCTGGTGTAGGGCATTGCTTACCTATGAGGTTCTCCCATCTATGGGGGGTTTTTGTTTCTAAATGGGACAGTAGAGACTTGCTTCAGTATTTTTTTCTTGCCTTATTTCATTAATCAATACGTCCTTCCCTTTTATAACTAGGAGAGAGACCACTGGAAGTCATGCAGGAAAGTAGTTTTCTGGAAGTGTAAGCTGTGGATGGTTATAACTTCAATATTTCTAGTAATCTTCTTCGTCATTCTCATCAGCCTAATTCTTTATTCTAGTAAGTATCTCACTCTTGGTTGCAATAATACAAATGTACAATACTTACAGTCTAATGTAACACAAATGCAACAATAGCATCCTTTAAACTCTATCATTAAACTGCTGAAGGGACCAGGATACTGACTGCAGAGTCTGGTGGGTTGGGTGGGTTGGGTAGTGGATGTGAATGCTTTTATCTTAGCATGCAGCAAGCAACTTCTATCCTGATCAGGTGGCAATTCCAGTTTGTAGCTAGGTGAGAAAATGTTGTGAGGAGAGATATGGGGATGAGGATGGAAATTATGTTTGTCACATTGCAACCAGTGCCATGGATCACTTAGATCCCCTCAGGTGGTGTCATTGTCACCCAGGCTCCCAGGGCAGCTGACTTTTGCTGATGGGGGTGGGTGTTTGACCTCCACATGCTGTCACTTTTCTTCAGGTGACTTGCTGTAAGAGTCCAAGCCCAGGGAGCTACCAGCTCACAGGATTGGCTGGGAATTTTGCTTTAATATATAGATATAGGATTCACTAATATCTCCAGATAGCATCAAGAGAATAAGCCACGGGCTTGTTCCCAAGGAATTTCTTTATTAATTTAGAGGAGCAAATAAGGGGACTTGGCCAAAGTTGAAAAGGACACCACACAAGCCAGACAAAAACACTCCACCACAATACTGACTCAGCATGTACTAGGTACTCAGCATGTATTAATTGACAACACTTAACATCCAGTAAACCAACAACACTTAAATCAAGATACAATCCCTCCAGCTCCAAACCACCTTAAGCATCAAGAAAGGAGCAGAGAAAGAGAAGCAGAGGGATCAAGAAGAGAGAAGGAGAAAGAGGGAGAGACAGATCACACAGCTACCACTGAAGCCTTGTAGGAGACCAGCTCTCACAAGTCCAATGGCAGGGCCGTGACAGGAGGCAAACACATGCCCTTGGTTTTATTTGCACTGGTTTTATCCGGCCAAACCCCCTGAGGGGGATCTCTGACCACCAGCCACTCTGGGGGTTCCAGGTCAGGGTGAGGGGCAGTGTCCTCACTGTCCCTGCCAATCTGAGCTGGGTTAGGGGCTGCAGGATGTGGGGTGTTACAGTTTTCCAAGGGCTGTTTGTGACTGGCAGCTACTCCAGGGCTTCTCCATGTGGGTCCAGGGGCTGCCATGAGGGACACAACACCACCCCACCTCCGTGAGGTCCAATCCATCCCTTCCCCCCTCCACACACACACACACACACACACACTCTCCCATAAGGTGGTTCTGACTCCGTAATAACTGACCTGGTGTCTAACACTTGCAGTTTCTTCCTGTCACTCCCAGTCAGACCTTACCTAGGAAATTTGTTAGAAAGCCACCACAGAGCAAGACAAGAAGGTTGTTTTCAGTACTTCAGCTAACCGGAACTTTTTCCTTCCCTTTCCATCTCCTTTCGATTATTAGATGTTTACACAGATGAGGATGACTATTGGGATCCTGATGCACTACTAAACAGTGGAAGTTTTCACAATTTTTCGGGAACATTGGAGTTAATGTGTGGTCTCCCACACGTTTTCTCTGAGGACATTACTAAGAGGGTATGTCTTGATGTGTTTCTTGGCAAAGTTGATTCTGCTTACAACACAGTTTCAGTGTTTTTCCTTTCAAGAAGTTTCTGTTTCTCTGAGTAGCAAGTCCACACAAAAAATTGAATTCTACTTCTTAAAGTCCTGATCTAGAAAAACAGAGTTTTCTGCTTTTAAGCACAAAAAGAGCATCTGATTTTCTTCCACCACGTTTGACTAATGGTTAGGACACAGTCTTTACCTTTTTCACAGAATCATTGAATAATTTAGGAGGGGCTTGTGAAAGTCATTTAAAACCAATAGGTGCTGAAAATCTTGTGTGCTGCATTCTTTCATTAGTACACAATGACAACCTGGGTTTATAGCTGCAATTTCCATCAAGCCATCCCAGTTCTTAGTTTCAGGTGAAATAAGCTCAGCAGACATGGCAGTGCTCATTTAGACATCGTGAAAAGGGAGCGTCAGTAGAGAAACCCTTCCCTCTACCAAGTAAAAGTTAGAAGAGCTTTTTGGCACTGATTAAATCCCAAACCTAACCATATGAATTGCACATGGCAACGAGTGCATGATTTTAGATCACCCTGAGTGCCTCTATTGTGTTAAGGTTATATAGCAGTCACTCAAATGTGCAACTATCTTTTCTGTCAAATTTAAAAGGACTGTGTACATCTTCCAGGGCAGATATTTGCTGATGTTTGACTTTCAGTACCTGTGTTTATGCCCCTAAGATATCTTCTAAGAATGATTTGCTGTGGGGTTTTTTTGTAGGGAAAAGAGAGATTGAATAGATGAAATATGTTTTTCTTTTTTTCTTTTTTTTTTTTCTCTATCCCAGCTAACAGAGGTCTACAGTTCATCTCCAGCTTTAGGACGTTACTTTAGGTCAGCTCAAGTGATTTCTTTCAGGTAAGCAATTTGTCACCAAAATTATCTGAAAATTACACGCTTTTGATGAGATAAACACATAGGCATGTGTATATATAGGTTGTTTGGGGGAAAGTTAGGTTTATAGATCAAAAGGTTCTCTGGTGTAAATGGAAAATGCTGCTAATAGCATATGACAGTAGCATTTCATTGCTGTAAAGTATCATCTCTATTATTTTTGGTCCCAGTTGCAGCCCTTAACAAACATATTCAAGGATATTTATTAAAGGGAAAATTAATTGGTGGAGACACTTAAAATTGACTTGGCTAAATAGTCTTAAATAAATAAAACAAGGTTCATGGGGCAGAGAGAACTGTTTTGTTCCCAGAAGAGGTAAAGGCAACAAGAATATACATGCCTCCTGTCATGGAGAAATAGCAGAGAGGTAAGGGAAGACAGTGAGCTTCCTCGAGCGGTTCTGAAAATGCTGGATTACAAAGGAATTGTAAAGACTGGAGAAAATCAAGGAAAGTAAATTCGCAAAGTCCCAAGGCCCTTGAGGGAGCAAGGACAGAGAAAGAGCTCCCCTGGGACATGACAAGGGGCAGTCCTGAGGACACTTTGCTCCCTCGCATTGCCAGCCCTGGGCATGCCAGCTCTGTTCCACGGTGAACTGTAGCTTCTAAGTCTTATTTCCTCTAAGTTAAAAATTGTGAATTAGACCATGAAGTACAAAGGTGTAGTTCTGCATATACACTGATCAGCTGATCTCTCCCCCTCTGCCTGTTTGCATGTCTCTCTCTTGCTGCCTCTCTTAGTTTCCTTTTTTCTCACATTCAGCTACTTTTTGTAATGTTTCAATTCTGTGAGCACAAAATGTAACTGTTGAATGGTCGACAGTGGATGTAGTAGACCACAATCAGTGAAATCTCCAGAGGTGGTCTCCCGTTCGCTGGCTTGTGTAATCCACTTCAGAGCTGAGCCAGGAGCGCAGCTGGGTGGTCCCAGGTACTGGTGGCAGGAGAGCAGACCTTTCTGCAGGCTCCTAGCCAACCTATTTATAGGATATTACACCACCTCTTATCGGTGTGTACTTGTGAAGCAGGGGTGCTGAAAACCACACCCCATCAGGACACATGTCCAATTGCCCTTTGTGCATTTGAAAACATGTCTGGCTGGCTTCAAGTACGGGCTCAGTTTCAAGACCTGTTCTGAGAAGGGAGGAGAGGGGAGGAGGAAACTGGAAGCTTTGATGACAGTTTTCTTTTATAATGCTTTGCTTTAGAAAACATTAAAAAAAAAAAAAAAATCCGTGTCAACATTGGTATGTAAAGTCAGTCTTCTCAAAAAAATAAAACACCCAGGGGGAGCTTGAGGGCATTCACACCTGACTTTGTTTTTCAGTAATGAAAGCTCCAGTGTAATTTATCAGCTAGTGTTTTCTGTGCCACCATCAACAGAAGGATTTATGGAAAACCTTATGAACCCAGATTTTATAAGGAACATTTTACGTCAGAATATTTACGATGAAGACGATACTTTTAATCCTGGGACATCTGAATGTGACGGGTTAAAGCTTGACCGAACTTCTCTCACATGTAAGTCCTGTACATTACAGAAAGTGGTTTTTTACAAAGAGCAGAAGTATTTATGGTAATGAATGGAAATAATTCTAGAAAGGTGTTGAGATTTGTTAGGAAATACATTTTGCACAACAACATTAAGAACACTGTAAAATAGTTTTGAGAATGCCCTGCTGTGCATAACTTATTACCGAGGATTCAGTGCCAGGTCATCTGATGAGAAAGGGAAGAGTGATGAGACAGGTTAGCTGTGGACTCCAACCTAACGTCTCGGATCTATTCTTACATTTTCTCTACACAAAGAAATTCTCCTCAGATGTATGTGTACCATAGCGGGGAGACAAATAATGAGAAATATTTCTCTTTATTGTACATTCATTTTTGAATAATTACAAACCAAATTTTAATGCAAGTAAAACAGGATAAGTAACTTGGGATTAAATTTCTCAATTTTTTTTTTCACAATCAAGGATGAGAAAGACTCCTAATTTTTGTCTTTTTGGAGGGTCATTTTTGTGGGTTTTTTGTTTGTTTGTTTTGGGGTTTGTTTGGTTTTTTTAATCTATTATGCACACAGATACCTTTTAAAATCACCAAATGTTCATTCTCTTAGGTTTTCTAAGCAGTGGTTCCAATGACTACCAGTGACTAGGCAGTGATTCCAACAAATTCATATTTGTCTTGATAGAAATGCCAGTATAAAAGTCCCATGATCTTTGCAGTTATAATGAAAACAATGCTGTGGAGCTGCTTCCCCACCCCCAATTTACGAAGTCAAACCTATGTGCTTTCAGAATAATCCTAGACCAATACTTCAGCATTCAGTGTATATTATGATTAACTCATATTATAATATAAGTTTCATTTTAATTTTAATATTGTACTGTTTTAACTTTCAGAGAAATGATGGAAAAGTTCCTCATCTTCATCACCACCTGGAAGAGATGGGATCTCCTATCTATTAGTAATCCCAGGGCAGGGAGCTATTCATTAGGTAGAAACACTCCTAAAGTTGTTTTCCCGTAAATGCTGCCTATGGTGCAATATTGTAAATGGAATATGTGACATCTTTATAAGTGTTGCACTCCTATAACACCACTACCTCCTTCTTTATTGTCCTGATACCTCAACAATCCAGTTTGCCCTGGTGGAAATCACGTATCTTCTCTGATGCTCTGTTGACTTTGAAAGCTCTGCTTTGTCTTGCCTTATGATTAAATCTGTCTTGCCTTATGATTAAATCTGAATGCTCTGTGCAAGCTTTAAAAGTGGTCTTGCACATGGCTTTCTTTTTCTCTTGGTTTATCTAAAATTATCTGCACAGCTTCACCCTTAATGCTCACTTCCCCCCATGTTGCTGCTTTTTCCCCTCCTAACTTCATCATATGCCATGTTTTCCCATTGCTCTTTCCTTGTAAAACAGCCTGAAAACTTTTATATATATATATATATGTATACACACACACATATATATATACGTATTCTTTAATTACATGTAAGACCTTTGCACTAGATTCTCAAGGAAGCTTTAACTCTCCTTATTCATCCTAGAGTCTTCCTGGATAAGGTGGTATCTGCTCTATTTTTCTCTTCTTCAATGTGAAATAGAAAAGAAGGAAGAAACATCATGAAGAAACATGTCTTGTTCACTAACGCATCTGAATGTCACAGGAATCTTTCAAGGGTAAAATCAGCTGTGTGCTTTAATAATTAACTACTGCTACTAGTGAATAGACAGATATTTGACCTGTGTTTGTAAATCTGAAGACAAACTAGTCTACTCCGTTAGCTATAGTCCCTGTCCCAGCAGTGGGGATAAAAATGAACAGATGCAAGGCTTTTGCCTTAATAAGGCAGCAAATGGTTGTTCTTGTTGATGAGAGATCAGATGAGACGGATCAATGCCAAGAGCAAGGTGCTGAAGCAGACCATGCAGACCAGCGTGGCAGTGGAGTTATAGACAGTAACTGGCAATAACCTGAAAATGAAGCATTAACTTTATGCAGAATGGAATGTATTCACTACCATGTTAGTGAAGTATACCTTCTTGTCATTTATTTATAGCCTGTATAGTGTATAGTGCTGTTGGATAGACACATTTATTTTAAGAAAAATTTTGTATTTTAAGAAACACCTTATGGTAAATTGTGTTTTCTTTTCTAATATTACTATTTTATTTAAGGAGTACTCTGTCAATGTTATTGTGCATTAAATTATTTTTAGTCCTAAAGTGTTTGTTTTCAAGCTCCAGTCTTTCAGCTGTTTGAACTGGAAAATAACCTCTGGAATTGTAAGTGCTGAGAGCTGTCTGAAGCATCTGTCTGACAGAGCTGTACACTCAAACACATAGCTGTTGTTGCGTGAGTTTTATCTGAGCTTGGGAAACGTTCTGGACCAAATTAGTAGTTTGCATGACTCTCTTATTTGTGGCTAATTCTGATCCCGTCTTGATTTGTAAGATGTAGCATTGGCTGTAAGAACCATATTTTCTCTTGCTGTAATTTTCTATGCAGCATACAGCTAGAAGAGGTATTCCTTTTGATTCTTACACTGGGGAAGGTTAAACTTCAATGCTTGTACGGTTTGTACCCAAAAGCAGCAGGCTATGAAAGTACCAGCAGCAAAGAAATAAGTTGCTATTGAGATGCTGCTCAAACTTATTGCTCTTACTAAGATGCCTGAATATATCCTTGAACATTTCTTTATCTTAATTCTGAGAGCTGAAAAATAATGTAGTGATTAGACTTTGTGGTGATACCCCTATGAGCATTAAGAGTTGAGAAAAAAAAGGAGATAAGCATTCATTTTTTTTACCCAGCCATCCTGCTCTGCCCCAGTACCTTAACCCCCAGGAAAGAAGAAGGTGGAGTTGTAGTAAGACGTGATATTAAACAGGAAATATCCAACTTTACAGTCTACAGATTGTATTAATTAGGATTCAATTCATTAGGGACACAGCAGTGTGAAAACACATTTTTTCATCAAGGTAGATATTTTGTGTGGATGCTTACCGTGAATTTTAATAGAAGGAATGCGCGTAATACTTTAACAACTGAGACAACTGAGATGCTGTTAAGAAGCAGCTTATAGAGTGTACAACCAGCCCTTTAAAATCCCATAGCAGGTAGTCAGTCATCTGTGTAACTACAACAGCCAGTACCAGTTTTGGGCAGACTCGGCTGCCTGTCAGAGCGGTAGTACCTGCAGGCAGTGTGTGTCCTTCCATGCTACAGGCAGCCATTCACCTGTGGGACCACCCCTGGCACTGAAATGACAGGTGGTGGTGGCAAAGGCACTACCCCATAAAGCCAGGGCTGCAGCCAGCCATCACAGACAAAGGAAGACTTAAACTCAGGAAAACTCTACAACACTTTCTTCCAAACTGTGTTGTTACAAAAATGGAGGGAGGAAAAAAAACCCGTGCTTAAGCAAGAACACAGGCACATAATCGCTTTATGAGCTCTGGTAAACAGCTGAATAACCGGTTTCAGACCTTTGAGCATGTCCAGAAACACTTCTTGCAGGGGAGTGATGGGCTGTGAGGAGGTTATATTCTAGCATTGCAGAAAGCCAAACCTGAGACTCCGGCAGGAGTGAGCTGGAAGAGTTGTGTCATGGAAGAACACCTGGGCTTCTACTACTGAGAGGTAGTTACCACCTGGACAGCATCAGTATTCACACTCTACTCAGGGCGTGTAATATTTGTTTTGCATGCAGTTTATTGGGGTTTTTTATTTAATTCCAACTTCATTAAGACTTCACTCTTAGATAAGTAGTATTACATTAAAAGGGGAAGAGGGGAATTTGAGAAATGAGTTATTTATAAAAATTGTGCCTTGTACAACGGTATAAATCAAGCAGGACAGAAAAACTTTGAAAAAGCGTAAGTGCACCTAACACAAGGCTTATGCTCTCATTTAAAACATAAAAGACCGCCCAGATATACAAAATAACCCTGTTATTATTGCATTTTTGAGATTTGCATCAGTAGTTATTTAAGACTCCTTTGAAAAGTATTATAAAAGTCCAGAAAAAGGTGCAGACTCAGTTGCTTCTAACATTGAAGCTCCTAATTTTCTATAGAGGAACATTGTCTTTATGGTGGCAGCTGCTATTTATTCCTCCTGGTTTAGTTGTCCAGTGCTGTACCCTGTCCATGTTTCTTTCTCTAATCACCCTTTCATGGACAGGTTTGTCTCATGGGAAAATAACTGGTAGATGTATCCTAATGCATAAGCTTGGGGCTGAGAGAGACTTGCTTGTTTGAGGACCTGACAGCCAAGGTAAGATGGTTATCATGGCTGCACACACTCAAGTTAAAGAGTGCCTTCTAAGCACCAGGACATCATCATATTCACTGTGCTCTTCAGGGCTGGTGATAGTTTCCTTCTCCTTGGGCACTTGGACAAGGGCATATTCTGTCCAACTATTGCAGTCAATCTCGGACCCTTCATGTTTTACACTGTGGCTGAGAGTTGAGTACCACAGCTCGCTGGAATTCACAGAATCTCTTTTGGCAACGTGTTCCTGAGGGTGGGAATGGGAGAAGGAGAAAGAGTGAAGCTCAACACAATTATACCCTGAAGAAGCTGAACAAACCTAGTATAGCTTCTACGCTCCTGCAGTGCTATTGACCAATATACACAGTACCAAGAAGGGTTTGTGAATCCACAGTCATTTCCCTACTGTACAGAAACACATGGACACCTGGTGTGGGTGGAGCGTGAAGGCCTGACTGGTGTCCTGAGGAACCAGCACTGCCAGCAGCGGGTTATGTGGTAAATTCTCATCACCACGTGAGGGAGCACAGCAGCACAACTGCAGCCGAGCAGCCTGAATCACTCCCTGCCCCAACTCCCCCTGGGGCTGTCCCATAAGGGAGATCATCCCGGTGAGCCCACGGTGACATCCACCCAACCAGTGAATGGGAGCTGATGGGGGTGGAGGGAGAGTTACATGGGACATTTTATCGATTTATGTGAAGGGAGAGCATTTGGGATTTGCACAAGACTTAACATGGGATATTTAGGGGAGGGTTCAGGGTGATTTGCAGAGTAAAATGCATAAGAAAACAGAGGAATAAAGGAAGGGATAGAGGAGTCACAGCCAGTTGCCAGAGAGACTGTAGGGTCTAGGACCCCAAGTGTGTGTTGCGTGTGTCTGTGCAGGAGACAACGCTGTCCTGGAAGGGGCCCTGGCCTCACTGGAGATGAAACCATCGTTAATCCCTTCCCTGGCAGTCCTCATCTAATGCCCTCTGTGAAAACAGAGGGAGAAGAAAGAAGAGTCCCTTCCAACTCAGAATATTCTCTAACTCCTGTCTGCTGTAATTTCTGTAAGAGCCATTAGCAGAGGAGGTAAGGTTGTGTGGGCAAATGCTTTCCCAACTTTGTTTAGACTTGTCCTTCCTTTTGCCTCTTGAAGGTGTTTGCTAATGGGTTGTGGGTGATTGTGCATCTAAATAGCTTGCAGGATGACTCATTAAATCTAAAGGGACAATGTGAAGTGATTAAGTACTTGGAGTCAGAAGTTAAAAATTTGTTTGCCCTGGTGTTCTTGATTTGAACCCACTGGTTAGTGAAACCAGTGAGTAAGTAGAGGCTTTATAGTGATTGTCCTCAGTAGTGACAGTGTTTCTAGTGAGTGTTACTGGGTTCACATGACAGTTGTAGCTACCTTTCACACCCTGTAAGTGGAATAATGGTCTCTGCTTCATGGGTGAAAAAACCCAAAAGGTTAGATTTTATTTTTCAAACCTAGAAGTGAGAAAGAATTCTTAGAACAAAATTCCTGCAGAATTTGTTTCAGATTTTCCAAGCTTATGTAAATCATATTGTCTTATAGATTCTCCTTGGTGTGAAAGATCTCCTGACCTTGAGAAGACTTCACTGAAAATAAATCCTGAGTTTTTATTTGAGGTTTTATAAAATTTTGAGATTTAGAAATTCCAGAAATTTTAAGGATCAGAGTGATCAGGGTAGACTTGCCTAAGAAAAGGAATTTCCTGCCTATCTGCAAGTGCATGGCTCTCTCCTCACCGAGTCATGATTGCAAAGAATTGGGAGGACAGCAGTGTTTCTTTTAATGTGCCTATAAAATGAGAATAGGTAGGCTCTTAATTTTAACGAGTGACTGGCTCCCAGTCCACTGAGTGAAGTCTGGAGCACCTCTTGTCTGTCAAACATACAGGTATCTAACCAAGACTTGCTCATAGCCAAATTTCCCAGAATCCTTCCAGGCTCTGTGTTCTAAAAGGCTATTATTATCAACCTTCTCTTATCAGCGGGGAGATCAAAGTGCAGAGGTGGACTCGTTTCTCCCACGTGCTGATGGTGTAGGAGGAGCAAGAGTGAAGACCTTAATTATTCACAGGCTAAGTGGAACGCTCAGAAAGGACATCTTTCTTATTGCACTAATTCCTGGGACTGTCTTTGAACCATGCTCTGGAGCTTTTCCTCAGAACTCCAAAAACTCTCAGAACTTGACAGCTACTTGGCAGGTTCCCCATTACAGTTCCACCCCCTCCTCTTACCCCACAGTCCATCCCACACTTACATATACAAACGATGAACTCATTTCATCACGCTGTTTTCTGTCATCTTGCCCATCTTCTTCAAAATTTTCTTCTAAACACCCACTTATCTGCTGGACACCAACTTTTGTTTTACTGATGTCATCTTTATTTAAAAAAAAACACCTAAAAGAACCCAGTTAGGCTGCTAAATGGCAGTGTTTTGTTCTGTGGTACATAGGGCTTCTGCTGATTGTTCGTCATCAGGGACTCGAGGCGACTTCACTAACCCTCTGCTAAAATGAACTATTTACAAAGCAGAGGTAGCAAACCACAAGTACTCAGCTGCTGCCTCTAGGAGCCCAGCATATTAACAAAGACAAACAACCACACAAGACTGAGAAGTGGCTGTTCCCCATCCCTGCCCTCTTGGATGATAAGTTCAGGCACAGAAGCAGGGAACATACCAGCTTATGGAGTTACCTCTTAAATTACCTTGGGGTGCATTGCCAGAACTCCTAAACCTAACCCTAAAGCAGGGAGGCAGCTGGGACGGGGCAAAGTGTTTAGCAGTCTTTTCTGTGTTGCAATGGTTTATAAGAAACTAAATATGCAACCTGAAAGGGCATGTTTGCTTGGTTATTTTTTTTTTCTTTTCTTCCTTCTACAGTCAGTGGGACATTGGAAAGGGAAACCTTATTCT